CCTATGGAATTTTGGGGTCCCTGTGGGATACTGGGGTCCCTGTGGGGTCCCTGTGGGACATTGGGGTGTCTGTGGGATATTGGGGTCCCTGTGGGGTCCCTGTGGGATATTGGGGTGTCTGTGGGGTGTCTGTGGGGTCTCACCCCCCCTCCCCCAGGTGTGACCCCATGAACCTGTCCCGCACGGTGCGGCGGATGCTGCGGGACGGGGACAGCAGCGGGGACAGCAGCGGGGACAGCAGCGGGGACAGCGCCCCCTGAGCCCCCCCGGACCCCAAAACCCGCCCGGGACCCCCCCCCAGCCCTCCGGGGCGCTTTTGGGGCGGGGGTCCCCAAAGCCATGAAAGTGCCTTGAGAAGCTCCTGCTGCCGCTGGCCCCCGGGGACATTTTGGGGTCCCCAAAGCCGGGCTGGGGCCGCGCCCCAAAAAGGGAATTTGGGGTCGTGGGGGGGGTGGGAACCTCCCCAAGCCGCTTTTGGGGGGGGTCCCCTGCTGGATTTTGGGGGGGTTGAAAATAATTTGCCAAAAGACATCGGGAGGGACCTCAAAACTGGGGGGGGTGGTGGAACCCTAAAACCCCCCCGAGACACCCCAAAATCCGCTGGGACACCCCAAAACCCCCCGAGACAACCCAAAACCCCGCGAGACAACCCAACCCCCCCCCCTAGACACCCCAAAACCCCCCGAGACACCCCAAAATCCGCTGGGACACCCCAAAACTGTATTCACCCTGACTGGGGGGGGGCTGAAACTCTCCAATAAAAGCCCAAAATTTCTCTAAATCCTCCACAGTCTGCTCGGGGTGGGGGGAGGACTTTGTACCCAAATTGGGGGAGGTGAAATCCCCCAAAACCCCCCAAAATCCGCTGGGACACCCCAAAACCGTCTAAAACCTCATTGGCGGGGCTGAAACCCCCCAATAAAATCCCAGAATCTCTTTAAATCGCCCGCAGTTTGCTCGGCCGGATGGGCACGACCCTTTTTATTACAATTCTGGGGGTGAAACCTCCCAAAACCCCCAAAACGTCCCAAAATTTCCCCAAAATCCCCAAAAATTCCCCCAAAAGCAGTCCGGAGGGGGGCGCGGCGGGGGGCGTGGCTTGAATAGCTAATAAGGCGGGGGCGCGGCTCTTCTGACCAATCAGAGCGCGGAATGCAAATGAGGCGAGGGGGGCGGCGCAGATCTCGCGCGCTTCCGCGAGTTCTCGCGAGAGTTGCGGGCGGCGGCGGCGGGATGGGAGCGCCGAGGTGCGGCCGGGGAGCGGCGGAAAACGGGGCGAAAACGGGCAAAAACGGGCAAAAAGTGGCGAAAAGCGGCGGCCCGGCACGCCGGGGCACACGGGGAGGCGGCTGCTGGCGCTGGGTGGGGTGGGGGGGGGGATGTCAGGCCGTGCTGCGGGGCAGGCACTGCGTGGGGGATGGGGGATGGGGTGGGGGAGGCTCGGAGAGGTTTTGGGGTGAAGCCGCGGGGGTTTTGGGGGTGTCCCGGGGGTTTTGGGGGGCTCCGTGACACGGTGCTGCCCGCAGATGCCCCGGCACTGCTCCGCCGCCGGCTGCTGCACCCGCGACACGCGCGACACGCGAGGCAGAGGCATCTCCTTCCACCGGTGAGCGACCCCCGGGCGGGGCAGGGACCCCCAAATCCCCCCGAGGCTGCCCCGGCAGCGCGGACCCCTCCTGGCAGCGCTGTCACCCACCCCGAGCCACGGTGTCCCCCCCCCCGAGCAATGGTTTGTCCCAGTGTCCCCCCCTCACAGCAATGGTTTGTCCCAGGTGTGTCTGTCCCCTCTCACAGCAATGGTCTGTCCCAGGTGTGTCCCCCCCCCCAGCAATGGTCTGTCCCAGATGTGTCCCCCCCCTCAC